TAGGCAACCTGATGTTTTTTCTTTTGATACTGATTTATTGCATTCAATATCAGTTCATTATAGCTCGCTTATTTAAGTGGGTAGGTGGGTGTGGCTGCTTTGTTCATCCACTGTCACGCCCACACCCACACTCCACCCTTCTCTCCCATAAGGCATATAAATCTAGGCATCATTTTTGCCACACACACCCCTGAACCAAATAAAATCTTAATATCTGGAATCGTGCTATTTTGTTGTGTATTCTTTCTTTATCTATCCTAGTATATACAGATATATTTTCTTTCGACATTTCTTCTCATTGCCACTAATTAATATTTTCCTTCTTTTTATATCGTGTACAAAACTTATATCGACTACAGTAGTTTACATTTCTTGCAGTTTTAGTTTTTTTAAGTTTTGCTGCATTATGACTATGTGAACATCTAGGGTGAAACTTTAGTGATGCTGATTTCAATCTCTTTATGAATTTTCGCAGTTCAACGTGTTACTTGCCAATAAATAATCATATTTGCAAGAATAAACCAATGTATCAGTTAGCGAGGACTGTGGGACTCCACATATGTTTGGAGTTCAGGAGTCTGTTGTTTCTTCCCTGTTTTACATGCATTCTATTTACTTTTTATAGACGAAAAAACGTTACCGGTATTAACTGAATATCAACCCGTTCGCATCTTAGGTCAGAAAAAAAAACAAATTCCACCAACATTGACAACACCATCGTTACCTGAAGAATCGCAAACAACGGAAGATTTAATAAATAAAGTCTAATCAAACAAATCTTTTTTGTTACTATCCGTTTAATACTATTCGATATTACAAGAGAAATAATAAATCTGTAGTTTCTTTTGAAGACAAATGTGATGCATGTACATATGCTTTACATTAGATCTTCCATATTCTGATTCTTCATTTTTTTTAATAGACGTTATATGATTATAATACTCATGGAACAATAGAAATATTTTTGAAATCTATCAAAGCTGATTTTATGCTTAAAGAATTATTTCCAAGTTTACAATATTAATATCTTCATGTTATCATATGATTCGCCGTGAAAAATTTTAAAATACTAGTTTTCTAGTTTTGATTGTCTCAGTGACAATATTGACCTAAATGTTGAACCATACTCAAGATTGTTCTAACTACTGTGATTAAATTAAAGTAAAATAGATACATTGTGTTTCTTCAATATATTTGAAAGATTATTGACCAAAATATGTTGATACGATAGATTATTTCACCACACATAAGAAAGTTCTAAATTGAACAATTCGGTATTGCACAAGAACTAAGTCATGTTTAGCATTTCATCGAACAGCATTAGCATTCACATTCGGCTCAAAAGTTTAAACTCGATAATTTGATTCACAAGTATGGATATGAGTGTCGGTGGAAATGCATTTCTAGCGAGACCCATACCCACATCCACCCTGACCCACACCTTTGATAATCCAAGAGATATATGCATTTTTATTTTGCAAAATCAGATAGTTAACAAAGTAAAATTACTTATACATATATATATATATACTAGCGAGAACTCGTGCATACTGCACGGTCTTTTTTTATCAATGAAAGAAGTCTTTTCTTTTAGGGTAAGGGGTTCTTAGGGATACAATCCAAATCTTTATTTCTGTTTTATAAAAACAGCTTATTTTATTAA